GTTTTTTTTATGCACAGAATATTTTGTAAACATGCACTAAAGAGACTTCTTTTTCGCTTTTTATTTTTTATTTTTTTATTTCCGTCTGTTTTGTGGAAATAAGTTTGGAGATATTTGTTTAGCTGCAAATAAACTGTATGTGTTCCTTGATAGGAATTGACTGTCTAATCTGAATAGCAGATAATCTGCATTTCTTTCTCTTTTTTGGATGTTCTTTTGTTTTCAGATAAAGGCAACTGTTTTTATTTTGCTTTATTTATATTATTTAGGAGAGACTATCTTAATTCTTGTTAACAGGCACTTTTAAGTTCTAATTAGCTATCTTTCGAGTTGTTTTGTTGCATTATAGTTGTTCTTTCATGCATTTGCAGAGTTGAACTTATTTCTCTTGGTATTGCTATTACAGAATGTCGCCTTGTTTATAATGGCATGATCCTTAATCCTGCGACTGTGGGACCTAGAATATTTTGCATTGACGGAGTCTTGGCTTGCTTAACTGTCATATTTACTGCCGCCCATAATCATATGAGAGGTCTGTGCAGCATGAAAGGAGTCGGGGTAGATAATTCCTCTGGTGTATGTCCCCATGTGTCTGATGCAGAATCTCAGGTTTTACTACCTTTATCTAGGAGGACTGAGCAAAAATGTCCATCCTCAGAAGTTCACTCGACCCCAGAAATTGAGAAGAAGTATGTTCTTCGTGTTTATGATGCAATTGCTCCCCATTTTAGTTCTACCAGGTTTGCAAAATGGCCCAAAGTGCAAATGTTCTTGAACTCTTTGCCTCAAGGATCGCTCGTCTTAGATGCTGGATGTGGAAATGGGAAATACTTGGGTTTAAATCCCAATTGCCATTTCATTGGCGGTGATATTAGTCCTCCTCTTATCAGTATATGTGCAGGTAAAGGGCATGAAGTTTTAGTTGCTGATGCAGTAAATCTTCCTTAACAAACTGGTTACAGCGATGCTGCAATTTCCATTGCTGTGTTACATCACCTGAGCACAGAAAGCAGGAGGAGGAAAGCAGTAGATGAATTGATTCGTGTTGTTAAAACAGGTGGCCTTGTCCTAATTACAGTTTGGGCTAGGGAACAAGAAGATAGATCATTGATTAACAAATGGACTCCGCTTACTCAGAAGTATTTAGAAGAGTGGATAGGTCCTGGTAGCCCTCGAATTCACAATGCGACATCTACATTTGCTCTAGACGGCATCCCTGAAACTGCTGAAAATGGTCCTGGGGAGCAGTCGAAAGATTTTCCTGCCGAATCTTCAGATGTAGCATCACATGAAATTGTGCAATCGAACTCTAGATATGGAGATCAGTCACTGGCTTCTAAAACTGAAGAGAACTGTGCATCCCAACAGGAATATTTTGTTCCTTGGCACTTACCTTATCATCGAGCTGAAGTCAGTGGAGCTTCTGCCAGTGCTGTAGCAAATGGTCTGGCAAGGAAAGATGATAAGAAGGGGGCAATGGTTTATGTTGGGAATTTACTTAAACATGCACAGCGGAATTTAACAAATTTCAATTCCCATTCAGGATTCAGCTTTGTATTTAAATAAAAACTGTGATTAGAAATATACCTTTACTTGTGATTTGCAAATTCTTTCGCATTGTTCCTTTCCAGCAGCTTGAATCTGCCTCCCACAGCTGTCCAATTGTCCAGCCTCCAATGAAATCCACACAGAGAGAAGACAACAACTGCTAGGGTTTCTTTCTTGTGCTAGCAAGAATAATGAATCCCTTATTGGACCTCAAACCCTAGCTGCATATATATATAAACCCAAACGGACCCGG